ATACATTTATAGTGGTTGAAGCCCATGTGCACAAGTACATTTTTACTAAAGTCTGGTCTGGCAAAGTTGCATGTACATTTGTTCTGTGCGAATGGAAACAAAAATAAATATCAGTGTATATTCTTTCCAGATCGACTGTAATATCAGGAAGATACCACATTGTGGCCACTAGATGGAGCATGACAGCATAAGGAATAGGTATTTATTTCCTGCTATGATACAGTATTTTCCTGATATTACATTCGACCTGCAAAGTATACTAACATTCGTTGTTCCTCCCTTCACACAGAACATACATACAAGCAATTTTCAGTGAACAAATGGCTATGCAACTTTTATTTATATATACATACACACACACAGCTTTTATACTGGGTATATTTATTAATGTGGCATACAGGGCAACCTGCTTAGCGTGTGTTCCACATAGCAGTCACTAAGACCCCCCCTTTCCCCTTCCTCCCTGCCACAAGACCAATTCTTTGTTTCTGAGACTAATGTAACTTGTCATGGAACCAAACTCCTGGATAAGGAAGCAGCCTGCGCCCAATCATTGTGGTGCATACTAGTTCCGGGACAGTGAAGCTACCGTAGTTACTAAGCAATTGCCCTGGAACTAGGATACGACATATGAGTATGGGAATGGTTACAAGCACACAGGTATTGTGCTGCTCTGACAGAATACATATAAAGGATGAAGAAGAAGAAACATCTGTGCCCTGAATTCTATCCGGTCACTACAAGTTTCCTACCTGCTGTCCTTGCTCCAGATTGCCGACATGTTCTTGACATATACCTGAGAGGAAAAGAACAATTATATTCATTACAGAAGCGGCTGTAGTCCCGAGTCAGGTCAATACATTTTCTTTTTTACATCTTGTTACAGTCCTGCGGTGAAAATTCTGCTTTCACACGCCAGTACTCTGTGCCGGCAGAGCTGAGTAACAGCCACACCCCTCAGCACACCCATCACCTCTACCCCAACCTGTCTGTCTCTCTCCCACTCTGACATCATAAAAAGTGGAGCAAGAATACAGTTTTTTTTTTGCTTAGCTGCATTGTGTTCCGTTCTCATTGCGTTTTTGCCGCGTTCCTGCGTTTCCTGTCTTGCAGTGTAGTATTTTGCCTATCCCTCTCTGCAATGCACCGCACAGTATGATATTAATCGGTCAGTTCATGGATGGACCTTCCATTGAATGGAATGCAGTGTGCTGTCTACATAGATAGGGGGTGGCTAGGAATAGGCTGTGTGGTGCTGGATGTACAGAGAATATCACCTGAGGCCTGAAAGTTCAGGTATGATTGAAGTGTATCTAGAGTATCCAAGCTTTTAGATATTAGGAATACAAGTACGGTTACGTCACTACAATTGTAGTCCATTCACTTTTCCTCCTGTACTGTCCATGTTACTGAATGTCCATACCATGGTATGGACAGGGACTGGAGGAAGATTCTGAAGAAGCCAGAGCATTGCATCAGAGATCCACTGATTGCAGTTGCAATGCTTTACTGGCTTCAATTCTTCTTTCATGAAGAAGTATGCATTTATTATATTTTCCAAAAGGTGGACTTTCTCTTTAAAACCAGTTTTTTGCCATCTGTGTCCCATTGGGCAGCTTTCCTTTTACTTCCTGTCCTGTAGACACAACAGGAAGTGAGGGAAATCCCCTCTTAGACAGTTGTCACAGTAACAGCTGTCCCATTGAAGATTTCACCTCGGTTCCTGTTCTGGTGACCACTAAGAAGTTCGGATTTTTACTCCCTTTTATTTACAAAACAGTTCTCCCCCAACAGGGACCCCACAGACGTTGTCACCCGTCTATCCACAACTAAAATGAAAACTTTGAGCTTTGGAGTCCCTGATGCCATTTTATTCCAGTGCAGCTCTGTAGGAGCGCAGTGTAGAGGTGAGTGGTGTCTTCCTTCCTGTCTGTCGGTCTGTCTGTCTGTAGGCCCAGGAAGATCTATTGCAGCCTCTCCCTACATCAGCAGATCACTGCTATAGCTGATTACAGCCAGCAACAGATCTCTATGAAAAATGATCTGCTGCCTCTGCACAGCTGTATAGAGGAAGGGGGGGAGGGGGAGGGGGGATCAGAAAAATAAGGAAATTAAAAAGTCACAATATACAGCAGGGGTAGTTAGGCAACCTCGGCACTCCAGCTACCGCAGGAACTACAAGTCCCATGAGGCATTGCAAGACTCTGACAGCCACACGAAGCCAGAGGCAGACGCTGGGGGGCCGAGGTTACCTACCCCTGAGATACACGGAGAGGGATTTAACAAAAGTGGAGCAGTCGCCCGTGGCAACCAACCAGCTTCTCTCTTTCATTTTCAAAGCTCAACTGAACAAAAAGAAGATAGAAGCTGATTGGTTGCCATGGGCAACTGCTGCAGATTCCGTCTGCTCCACTTTGGATAAACTCCCCTCAGTACAAGTTATACTTGTCACCCCCCTCAAGAAGAGGACCTGTCACCTATACTGCAGAGAAGGTCAGGTCAGTATTTACAGAGGAGAACCTGTCACCTATCTATGGCAAGGCCAGGTCATTACCACCCCCTCTCACAGAAGAGGACCTGTCACCTATCTATGACAAGGCCAGGTCATTACCACCCACCTCTCACAGAAGAGGACCTGTCACCTATCTATGACAAGGCCAGGTCATTACCACCCCCCTCTCACAGAAGAGGACCTGTCACCTATCTATGACAAAGCCAGGTCATTACCACCCCCCTCTCACAGAAGAGGACCTGTCACCTATCTATGGCAAGGCCAGGTCATTACCACCCACCTCTCACAGAAGAGGACCTGTCACCTATCTATGACAAAGCCAGGTCATTACCACCCCCCTCTCACAAAAGAGAACCTGTCCCCTATGACAAAGCCAGGTCATTACCACCCCCCTCTCACAGAAGAGGACCTGTCACCTATACTGCAGAGAAGGTCAGCTCAGTATTTACAGAGGAGAACCTGTCACTTATCTATGGCAAGGCCAGGTCATTACCACCCCTCACAGAAGAGGACCTGTCACCTATACTGCAGAGAAGGTCAGCTCAGTATTTACAGAGGAGAACCTGTCACTTATCTATGGCAAGGCCAGGTCATTACCACCCCTCACAGAAGAGGACCTGTCCCATCATGCTGCAGACAAGGCCAGGCCAGTATATCCCATAAGCCCTCTATACACCCTGTCATTGGACACTGTCACTCCCAGGCCTCCTCAGGGTGACATGTCCTCTACCAGTCACATGACCTACAGACCCCAGTGTACCTTCCACACCTCCCTCCATGCCTGTAGCAACAGGACACCCTCCCCGGTACCTGAGCAGAGTCCCCGGCCGGGCACACACAGCCCGCAGAGGAGCACAGGACAGCGCCATGTCCTTGTGGCCTCAGCTCCCAGACTGTACCATCTACATGGGGACCGCCACCGTTCTACCAAGACTATACCATTTGCATAGGGAACACCAACCTTCTAGTCAGCGTATCCCTTCATTTTAAATGCCGCTCCTTCTCCTCGGTCCATACACAGCAGTGTACCCGGCGGGCATCGCCTAGCGATCTTTTCGTGACTGCAGTATTTTCGAGCACCCCCGTCCTTGCGGGAGTGGTGGTCTGTTCCACTTCCGGATCCTGCACGTGTTTTGTGTGAAGTGAAGGCTGAGTGGTGCGGGGAGGCAGTGATCGGGGGGGAATCACCATGCTCTTCTCCCGGGATATACCATGGCGGCGGCTGCGGGACATCAGCTTCGGGATCTACAGCTCAGAGGAGCTCAGGTGAGCCGGGAGGACGTGTGGGTGGCGGTGTTGTGACAGGCTGCACTGCTGCAGAACCTCTTTGCTATTTATACACAGTGCTGGGTGCTATATATGCAGAATTGGTCTCCTATGGGTGTAAGGCTTTCTGCTTGCATATATACAGTAATGGTGGTTGTGCCCTCTGTGACAGGTATCTGATATACTACACTGTAGGTTATGTGTTTATAAATACCAGTTCACCCATCATCAGATGTCTGGTGATAGAAGCGCTGACCTCCTTCTGTAAGCTTTAGGTGCTTGGCTGTCAATGGCTTCACAGCTTCCTAAGTCACAGACCAAGCATGTTGCAAGTGAAGATCAGGAAAAGTCAGACCCCCTGATCCACATACTTGTATAAGGTTACGTCACCTGAACTGATTCTCAACACATTCTCCTCACCTCCAAGGCACCCCTGCTGCAGTTATCCACAGTACATGCAATCTGAACTTGAGTTCACCTGAACCTGGAAAGAAGCTGACGTGGCCATATAAGGGCAATGATGTCACCAGCATCCCACCCCTTTGTTTACATGCAGCTGTTTGGGCCGGCACTGACTGCTTCCTTCTGGGCTTGGACCAAACGCAAGCTTATAACTATCTGCAATGATGACCCTTTCCATGCTGCCCATGCCAATCCATATAATGTTCCTTGTGACCGTGCTGACCAGTGTGAGTCTCTTCCAAACCTTTCTTCTGGGATGGGTTCCAGAAAGAAAACATACAGGGGGGAATGTATGAAAACTGGAGCAGACAAAATCTGAAGCAGCTGTGCGTGGCAACCAATCCGCTTCTCTCTCTTTCATTTTCAAATCGTCACTATCCAAACTGAAGAGAGAAGCGGATTGGTTGCCATGCACAGCTGTTACAGATTCTGTCTGCTCTAGTTTTTTATAAATTCTTCCTTTACCTTTTTAGAGTCACTTTAGGGGACACAGGATGATAATTCAGTTACAAAAGGTTATGCTGCCACCTTCAGGAAATTGGACACTGGCAAAACAAAGTTGTAAGCAACGTTCTGGAACTCAGCAATTTGGTTGTCCTTTCAATGCTGAACCTCTTGACTGCAAGGTGATCCGACCAGGATTCAGTTGAACAGCGTCATGCCAGTGGCACACATCAAGCACCAGGGAGGAATCGGAAGTCTTGCAGAGCAAAGAGAAGGTGACCAGGTTTTGGCTTGGGCAGAGCTTCACGTTACAGGGTGTCCGTCGTGCATATCCCAGGCATGGGAAATTGTCTGGTGGACTTTCTCATTCATTGCCACCTGGGCTCTGGAGAATGATCTCTTTACGCCGAGGTGTTACAAGACCTCTGTCTCAGATTGAGGACGTTGGACGTGGATCTCCTGGCTTCCAGGCTCAACAACAAACTGATCAAGTTTTGTCTCTAGGTCCAGGAATCCTTTAGGCTTTGCTGTGGATGCTGTGTAGACTGTGTGTGATTAGTATAGTCTGATCTATACCTTTCCTCCTCTGAAGCACCTTTCTCACCCCTCATTCTCATACACAGGGCTTGAAAAATGTTAGGGTGTCTCACCAGTCAGTTAAAAATGTCACCAGTCAGCATGACATCGATGTCGAGATCCGCCCAGCTGCGTGAGTGACAGCTGGCTCTGCCTAACTAGAGGCAGAGCCAGCTGTACCCGCCCCCTCCCGTTCCGCCAGTCAGCGCTGGCAGATCGGAGGGGGGAATCCAGCCCCTCCCCCTGTCACGGCAGAGAGCCATGACAGGATCGAGAGGTGAGGGAACCCGGTATGTGTTCCGTCACCTCCCGATCTACTGAGCCGACCTGTGACAGTCTCATTGTCACAGGTCGGCTAGAACTATGAGGTGAGTGAAAAGCACTCTCCTCATAGTTCTCCTTTTTAATCACCACTGGTTTTTTATTTTTTACTATATAATGAAAAAAGTACTGTAGATTTCGAGAGAAAAAAGAAAAAAGTTTTCCTACGTCATGTTATAAAACATCTATTCTTACCCATATTTTTGGTAAACTATAAAAGATGGGGTCACGTCAGGTAAATAGACACCAAACATGTCATGCCTTAAAATTGCCCGTGCTCACAAATAATGACCACACTGAAAATTAGCCATAGGCGACACTTAAAATGCTTTTACCGCTCATCAGTTCAGTGTTATCAGTGATGAATGGCCCTAAAATTATTGCTCTCGCTCCGACGTTCGCGGTGATATGTAACATGTGAGGCACAATAGGTACAATCGTCGTTTTTACACATAGGAGCACCCAACGCATATCTACGTGTGTATGTGGGAGGTCAGGGGACTTTAAAAAAAATTACAAAAAAAACCCACTTTTTTAGTTGACGTGCTTCGGTGCCATTCATTTTTTGTAATGGTACCGTAGCTCATCGACTTGAAAAAAAAAAAGCTTGTTTTCCTGCAGTGCACAGATGTGAGCAGGGCCGAAGCGTTCAGGCTCCTGTCGTCCTAATCCTTACTACTTTTGTAAGTTACCACCCTGTGCCCCACATGCAACTCAAGAGTTCCAATGTCACTTGTTCAGGGTCATTGACTCGAAGTGGTATTGGAAGGATAAGGATGACCTCTGCTGCTTTGAAAACGGTTAACAGATGACATTGGTAGCTTCTCATATTCCTGTGCTAACAGGTCCTCTTTGTGATGTATTTGACGATATAAATGATTATATAGATGACTGACTCTTTGTGTTTTCTTCCATTTTAGAGAGCTGAGCGTGAAGGCGATAACCAATCCACAGTACATGGACAAAATGGGCAACCCCATGATCAACGGCTTGTACGACCTCGCTCTGGGCCCTGCAGACAACAAGGAAGCATGTGGTACTTGTGCACAGGATTTCCGCAGTTGCCCGGGACACCTCGGCCACATCGATCTGCCGCTAACAGTGTATAATCCGCTGCTGTTTGATGTAGGTGGCAGATCATTTCCTTCCTGATATGACTATAAGCCATCCTGGATCTGATATGTAATAGCAGTGTTGTATTTAAAGCAAAGCCGAAATACAGTGGTACCTTGGTTCACGAATTTAATGCGTTCCACGATTATGGTCGCAAACCGAATTGGTCGCGATCCAAATCAAACTGTGATCAGACCGCAATCTCGACTAGAAGAAGCCACGACCATGTGTCAGAGCAGAGAAGATGGCTGCGGGTGTGTTCGTCGCCCGATGCGGAGTTTGTGAACAGAAGCAAAATTTTTGCCGAACCTCATGTTCGCGAACCGAATTGTTTGCGAACAGAAGCCTTCGTGAACCGAGGTACCACTGTACTTATTTACTGTTCAGCCTGCCAAAGGATGAAATATCTTCAGCCAGTCTAATGATTTGCACACCCCTGCCAAATTGCACAGGCAAGGGCATCTCTCTGCTAACTCTTGGGCCAGATTTTCTCTTTCCTGTTCTATAAATTCGGATAGGGCCTCCATGCAGACAGCAGTGTAGATGTGTGCAGAAGATGAACTCCAGGATTTGTCGATCTAAACCCAATTACTATAGATCCCCTTTTATTATAGATCTACCATCAACTATACGGCGCCACGACCTGCTTGATTTCATACTACTTGAATGGTTTAGGTCTGTCTTCATATTGTATAGTTTTGGGAAATCTTAAGGATATTGTGGTAGTGTAGGGCAGGCCTAAAACCTCATATGAGCTTTAAAGGAGAACTATGAGATGAGTGATTTCCACTCACCTCATCCCGTTACCCTAAGGAGAACTATGGGGGAAAACGCTGACCCCCATAGTTCTCCTTTTAACATGTTAATTTCATTTCAAAAGTTGTTTGAGTCTTTTGATTATTTGGCTTTTGATAAAAATATCTGGTGATCCTGCCATGAAAGTCCTTGTTCATGCATTTCCCATTATAGGGTGGCAACTGTCTCCCTACTGTGCTCTTGCTTTGCCACCCTTGTGGAGACTACAATCAGCCACGGTGCCATGCACTGCATGGGTATAGTCCACCATTGTCACTATGAAGATGCCAGTTAGGATCAGTGGTGTGCAGCCAACTATGGGTTGAGCACATTTACACTGGGAGTGGCTGGAAGAGGCTGCAGGGGATCAGCAACACATAGATGGGGTGAAAAAAAGCTGAAAACTGTCCTGTGTCCTTCAATGAACGGAGAGAAAAGGATTTTACGGTGAGTACAAAATCCTATTTTTATGAACCAAAAAAACATGGTGGTTCTTGATACAGGTTTTATTTTTTCCCTCATCTGGTTAGTTTTGATCTAAAACTACAGTTGCTGGTTTAGTTTTAATTTGCAAAATGTTCAACAGGAATTTACTATCAAAATCAATATTAAAGCAGAACTATAATCACCTCCCATCCTGCAATGACCTGTCCACAAGCTCCCTCATTGGCGCCAGCATCTTCACCTTGTCCCCTCCCGGGATCTTCAGCCATCTTGATTGGCTGTGCGGGGATGATGCAACTCCCGCACATTGCCCAGACATACTTTCACTTGTTGATCTACCAGACCCCTCATGAACTCCTAGCTTCTGTTTGAATTGATAACATACTGCCTTCGTTGTACTGAAATCCTTTGTAGTGTTGTCAGCCCGTTTTCTTGTGCTGGACTTCATAACATAGGGGAAGGTGCTCTGTAGTCCAGTAGGGAAGCACTGGGCAGGGCTGAAAAGAAAAGACTAAAGAGCGTTGGATTGTGCATACATTTGCACAGGACGAATGTTCAGAGTTCAACCGACCCGGTGAATTGTTTATAAATCAACCCCAGTATTTTGTAGTCAAGCATAAACCCCCGTTCATGACATGAGCATTTCCAAATTATTTTAAAGGTTTTTTTGTTCATTTGTCAGGCTTGATCATTGTTTTATTCAATGCAGTGCTAGTTACTAGGAAGAGACTATTGTGAGCGGCATAATTGTGCAGTAAACATGTGTTGCACACATTTTTTAGGTGCTTCCATTGAAATCTCTGCAGTCAAAGATGTGTAATTCTGTCCCAACAAAGCTTGTGTACTTTATGGAGCTATATGTGACCAGCAATACAACGCTCAGGTGTGAACGGGAACCATTGAAAATAATGGGGTTCTTCATGTTGCGCGTTCTCATGCTTTCGGAAATGGGCGAGAGAACGCTCGGGTCTGAATGGAGAGCTTCAGTAAATGTGATATCGGCTTCTATGAACTGAATTTGTGTTTGTTCTTTTCTTGTTCAGAAACTCTACCTGTTAGTGCGGGGCTCCTGCTTTCACTGCCAACTTCTGACATGTCCCCGATCCGTCATCCATCTGCTGCTCAGCCAGCTGAAGGTCTTGGAACGTGGAGCCCTCAAAGAAGTGCACGAGCTGGAGGCAGTTCTTAGTCGGGTGAGTGAGCTGTTTGTTTCGCCATGTCCTTTCCAGATTGGTTCATGAATTAGGAGGATCTGGTTCATTATGACCACCCGCTGCACTTTCAGTGCTTTAATGAGGAAAGCAGGGAATGCCCTAAAATGTTACCTCTATCTTAGTGCAGACTTCTGGGCCCATCCATGAGCCAATCACACAAGCAGGAAATGACATTTTAAGTAAAATGTCTAGATAATAACCAAATATAAACAGTGGCTGTACACCCTTGTAAAAATGTGACCTATAATATGTGCAATTTAGTTAAAAACAAACTAAAATCCTTAAATGTTGGGAATAAAAATGACGTGGTTGCATAAATATATTTACTAATACTTTGTTGAAGCACCTTTTGATTGTATGTCAGCATTCAGTCCTTTGGGGGAGGAGTCTACCAGCATGGCACATCTTGCCTTGGGAATCTTTACCCACTCCAGATATGTCAGATTGTGAGGGCATCTCCTGTGCACAGCCCTCTTCAGGTCACCCCACAGATTTTCAATTGGATTCAGCTCCAGCCTTTGACTGGGCCATTCCATTCTGAAAGCTCTTTGTGGACCATGGCTTTTGCTGTAATAGGCAACTGAGTAAATGTAAAGAAAAAAAAGCTGACTAGAACAGCTGAACTTTATATGGGCTTAATTGGGGTCACTTTCATTGATGGTGAGTGTGTACTGACTACTATTTAACATCAGCTTGAATGTGATTGGTTCATTCTGAACATGGCCACATCCCTAGTTATAAGAGGGTGTGTACCCTTATGCAGCGACAATATTTGTTTTGATTTTTTTTCCCCCCACTAAATTTCAGTTTGTTTTTTAATTTAATTGTGCATTTTATAAGTCATGTTAAAGGTGGACAAAAATAATCCCGTCTTGCATTAAGAAGGGAATGTATTGCAGGGACAAGTCTATAATTTTGCCACTTTATAGATCACTGATTCCGCCTCATCTGGAGTATGCGGTCCAGTTTTGGTCACCGATACTCGGAAAAGATGTCCTTGAGCTGGAAAAATTCCAGAGTAGGGGCTACCAAACTCATTAAGGGGTTTGAGGACCTGAACTATGAAACAAGGTTGTTAAAATTTAAATATGTTCTCTTTGGAGGTTAGGAGATTAAGGGGGGACATGATTTTCATGTATAAACTATTCAAGGGCGACAGCAACCTTAGTAACAAACTGTTTACGGTTAGCTCTGTAACAAAAACCAGAGGGCACCACCACAAATTGGTGGAAATTTTTTTTCAACATACAGGGCGCAGGGGGTTCTTCACAGCCAGAGCGGTTAAGGTCTGGAACTCACTGCCGCAGGAGGGGATTTCAGCTAAGAGTGTGGAATCATTCAAGAGACTCCTGGACGAGTTCCTTGGAGACCATAACATACAGGGGTACAGGTATTGCTAAGAGAAAAATCACACATGGACTCGTATACACGCACACACCTGCTCATACATGCATACACGCAATAGGTTGGACTTATGTCTTTATTCAACCTCAAATACTATGTAACTATTTTATTTTTCTCAAGAGACTTGAGTTTTCCTATTAATGTTTCCTATCTTTCCTTAGTTTTTGGAAGCAAATTCTGCTGCCACCGGTAATGAGATTCAAGCAGAGTTGGAAACTTTCACCAGAACAGTGCTTAAAGCGTATCCACTGAAGAAGGCTGGGTCCGGGGCCTTTGTAAGTATGACATTTTTCAGCATTTGTGTTGCTCAGTACTTGCTGTTGATGTCTCGCAGTCTTTGCCTCTCTGTCGTACTCATTGAGCCATACAGCTTAGGTTATAGCAGTGTAATGAGCGGGTGGGTGTAATGCTATGAGAGATTGTCTGACGATGCAGCCGCCCTGCTCGACTGCGTAAATTGTCTGGAAGTATAGAGCTGAGATGGTCAACTGAATTGATATAGGGGGGCATCAGGGGCATCACCAAAGAGCTGCCCTTATTGTGCAGTAGGTGTAATGCAATGGGAGATTGTAAGAGGCTGCTGCACCCTACAGGCATGGTTGGGGACCAGGGACTTGCTGTAGGGGACTCTTACTTCCATTAGTCTGTGTTTCTTACAAACCCCTTGACTTTCTTTTATTTTAATTAACTTTATTATAAATCATAATAAAATACAGTTAAAGTAGTATTAAACACTCAAACTTGATTTTAAAGTAGAACTATGAGGTGAGTGCTTTTCCGAGACTGTCACAGGTCGGCTCAGTAGATCGGGAGGTGAGTGAACACATACTGGCGTTCGCTCACCTCTCGATGCGTCTCAGTATACCGCGAGCTACAGCTCGCGGTATACTGAGCCTAGGGTGACGGGAGGACGCTAGTTTGTGTCCTCCCGTTACCCTAAGGAGAACTATGGGGAAAAGCCTTAACCCCATAGTTCTCCTTTTTAATAATGAACCCAGAGCAAACAAATGCACATTGCCCAGCAAAGTATTTCTTTATATTTTTGACCAAGCACTTAGTCGTCATGTTTCTGAACAGCTCCAACTCAGCTCGGCTTCCCTGAACTTCCTGTCAAGCACAAGATTACAAGGGACAAAGCAGACTCCAGCAGCCGCCCATCTACTAGCCTGAAGGAGAGGGGCCCAGGGGGGAGGGGAGTGGATTGCTTTGCTGTGTTTGTGGAGACACACACGGCTTACTAGCACACACAAGGGTGACTCCATAAGACTCTGCAGGGCAAAAGAGCCACCCTGAAACAGGATATCAGGGTCAGCGCTCAGGAGCCCAGCTGATGCTTCAGGAAACTAAAACTTTTAATTATCAAAAAGCAACTTCCATTTTAAGTGATGTAATCAGCATTTAAAATCCTTTTGATTTTAATAGCATTTTATACGCTCAACAGTGTCGTCCTGCATTGTGTCATCATCAGATCCCAGAATAAGTTGTTTGTCCCCGAAGAAAAAAAAAAAAAAAGAACCTAAGTCATGCGCTAATGATACATACAAAAATAATGAAGAGGGACAATTGATGATTTAGTGGTACCTTCTCTTGATGAGATTCATTACAAAATGGCAGAGGGAAGAAAAAGTGTATATAAAAGGGGAAGAAAAAGAATGGGCAGCACAGAAAAATTAAGATGTGTAAAAGAAATTAATCGAATCCCCCTTTAAAAAGAGATAAGTATAACCCCTTTTTTTTTTTTTTTTTTTTTTTTTTTGCAGGTGAAAAACATCTGTGTGGTCCGAAACAAACTAATTTCCGATTTCTGGAGGACACAAATGGCATCTAAGAAATGCCCAAACTGCAAGTAAGACCATAGGGGCAATTGTATGAGCTGACGTTTCCTGTAGACATTATAATATATAAATATACAAGACACATTCATTTAATAGGGAATCCAGTAATATAGCGTTGAAGGTATTGTGTGTTTGTTTTTTTTTATTAAAACCGGATCTTATCAAAAGTCAAGACAAAGAGTAAAATAAAAATTAGGGATGCACCAATACCGAGTATTTGGGTGAGAACTCTTACTCGCTCAAATGCTCTGATACCTTGCCCGATAACGGAAACTTCCAGGCAGAGGAACATTTCCTCTGACTGGCAGTCCCGTAGGGGAACAGGAAGCCAGGCAGCGAGTAATGACCCGGCTTTCTGATTGGCCGAGAAACCGACTTGATGCTGATTGGCTGGGAAGCCAATTTGCCAGCCAATCACAATCGAGGCGGCCAAACAACATAGAGCCCGCTTCCCGGCCAATCAGGAAGTCATCCGGTATGTCCTTGCCCGGCTTTCTGATTGCCTGGGAAGCTTTTTGGAGCTCGGCATCCAGCTTTTCCCTGTGTAATAACATCTTTAGATCTCTTCTAATATCTTTGAGTGAGTAGTGGGGGGGCGTTCCATTGTCGCATGAGACCTCTTCTGGCCGTGAGAAGGCAAATATGTAGCGAGTCCACCCACTTATAAGAGGAAAGTCTCTTGATTTTTTTTTTTTTTCCCACCACCAATGAATAAATCAAACCAGCAAAGAGCATAGTCCAGGACAGGAGTCGAAGACAGGATGGTATTGATATAGAGTAGCACCTGTTACCAAAAGGCAACTCCAAAAACAGTGCAGTAGCGTAGGACGATGTTGTCCACATTGTGGGCAGCGAGAACATTGTGGCTGAAGAGAGGAGGCTCCAGCAGATACAAAAAAACGGATCATACGCCTTATATAGAATCTTAAATTGGGTCTCCCTCATGTCACGTTGGTGATCACTATCCTTACTTTTGCATATCCGAGTAGTAGTTTTTCCACTTAATCTGGATCTTCAAATTCCTTGGCCCATTCCTTAACATTAGAATCAGATAGAGGGCAAAGGAACAAAGTTTGAAGTTTTGGGTACAAAGCAGAAATAGAGTAAGTTCCAGAAGATATTCAGACATCCCAAAAAAGGAGGAAAAAAATATTGCTGGGTCTCCAGCCATCGCTTTCCACGTGTTCGTAATCTGTACATAGTGTAAAAAATGATCAGAGGAATGCGATAACATCGTATAAGGTCCTCGGCCACTCACACATCAGATCTCAGCACTCCCTCACCCGCCCCCCTGCCGGCCATTTCTCAGCCTGAATTTTTGCTAATGGCTCTCATCAGTGGCTGCGTCAGTATCCTAGCTGCTGTGGAGATATACATTTGTTGTAGGAAGGAGATGATCGGACCCTGAAATCCAAACATGGGCAGTACCTGGAACAGCCAACGCGGACTGACATCGTGGAACGCTTTTTCTGCATCCAATGTAATATTGGTTGAATTCCTAGACGCATAGGACCGAGCCATTTCCAGCGCTGACTAAACCTTGCGCAAATTTGTAATTCCAGAGCGTCTCTTAACAACCCAATACTGCGCCGGATGGACCATAGACGGCAATAGATCAGCCAGACGTCTCCCTATGATCTTTGAAAAGATTTTTACATCGAAGTTCAACAATGAAATGGGTCTATACGAGTCTGGATGAGTGGCTAGATAAACTTTAACTGCATGAGAGGAAAATCAGGTCTCCTGCCACGCCATACTGTGCTGTAGGGTAGAGCTGTGTAAATTTAGGACTGCATGGACCGAAATACCAATCCTTTTGCCAGATAAAAACTGCCTCGTGTGTATTCCTTTTTGCCTGAAGTTCAGCATTTAAATGTTTTAAACCATATGCTCTCCTGTGATAACATCAGCATTGTAATAGAAATACATAGAGTTGTTTTCCATAATGCATTCAAAAGTTACTTGGAAAAATCCCTTTTATGTAGTGAGTGCTGCCTTCTCTCTGCCCATCACTTTCATCAACTTCCTGGACTCCCAGTGTGCTCTGCATCTCTTTCCCTGCTGCTTCATGTGATGCAATCTCCAATTCTCAAGACATGTCCCATCATGCATTGCTTCCAGCAAGCAATGATAATGTTACATTGTTCAGGTGTTGAGTTGCAGTTCAGGAGGCACAAGGAAGTGTTTATTCACAGGGCTGAGTGAAGTGGTGTCACTGCATTGAGGAAGTCCATCCTATGGGCACATACAGTAAGTAAGTTTACAATCTTCTAGGTGGATCTGGTTATTAGGAGTGGGATAGAACATATGGAAATACAGATTTTGTTTTTAATCTGAAGACTGTTGATTGGTTTATTTTATTTGAGATTTCAAATGACAGGAAAATTGTGTATCGGGCACATGCGCCCTGTTTCATTTTTATGTCTCGCTTTTAATCATTTTTGCCCTTTAGGTCCGCAAAATCTACAGTACGAAAAGAACACAACAGCAAGCTGACGATGATAATATCTCCAAACATGCAGAAGGATAAGGCTGAGGAGCCCCAAGTGTCAGAAAGTAAGTGCAGTTCCATGTTAATTGGTAGAATGTTCCAGATTGCTGGATTTGACACACATCTTTAAAGTTGAAATGGAGTAGAGGCTCCCCTCAAGGGCCTGCTCACCCCAGTGTGTTTGTGCAATAGTATGTTCCTAACGCATGGTATCATGCATTTAAAACCAGGCACCTAGCACCCGAGCTTCAGGTCTGTTGCATAGCTATTTCTTCAAATAGCCTGCCCAGTTGCTGTGGGTTACAGTACAACCCCCCTTTTTTTTTTCCAGTCCCCCCCCCCCCCCCCTTCCCCACCCCCAGCTTGCTTCTCATGCTCCACTTCATCTGTTCGCTGGTCTCCTACCTGCTGATTGAAGCCAGAAGCGACGCGGAGTGCATCACTTCCAGTTTTAAAGCCGGGGAGGAAGCTGATCAAGCCTTATCTGTGCTTGAACAGATTCTTAGGAGAAGAAAGGTGACATTAGGGGTCTAACAGACCCCTAATGTCCCTTTTTTAAAGAGAACCTGTCTTGGCAGCCAATGCATTGTCGTGTGCAGTACCGCATTACTATGTGTTTACAGTGAAAGGAGTGCATGCACTATTTTTTTTTTTCCACTACCACCATGCAGTATATTGCGGTATCTCGCATTGCAACACATGGCTGGCGGGAGGCCGTGCACCTAGCGGACATTACTGCATGCTAGATGCCTTGTGCAATAGCGTACATTAGACTGCTTTATAATTTCATCTGCCTTTTTGTTTTTCAGCTCTTGATACCTCCGGTTTGCCGAAACGAGGTTACCTGACTCCCAGCACTACAAAGGAACACATAGAGGCCGTGTGGGAAAATGAAGGTATGTACTGTAAATGTGTAACAAGCTGTGCAAACCGTCCAAAGATAAACCAAACATTGGATTCAAAAATGAATACTAAAATGGTAGTTTATCCCTCACCCCACCTTTATTTCTGAGGTGTATTTCTTTATTCTGAGGGTGTGTTCTATAGCAGGGCTAGTTAACCTCGGCACCCCAGCTGTTGTTGAATTGCACATCCCTTGAGACTCTGACAGACACAGACGTTACTCCCAGAGGCAGGTGCATGAAGGGATTTGTAGTTTTTCCACAGCTAGAGGGCTGAGGTTGCTTACCCCTGTTCTAAATGCTCGGTTTATTTTCTCTTTAAGCTGGTAATCATACTGTCCCTGGAGCTTCTTCCTCTATGCTGCAACCACTCACTGACATGAGATTAAGCCCCTAATGGGGTGAAATGTATCAGTGAAGTATGATCGGGGTCTGGCAGGAGGTGTCATCCTTGATGAGCATTAAAGCCTATCTCTGGCAAAAAAAGAAACAAAGATTACCACCCTTGTAGTGGGACAACTCCCCCACCTTTCCCCTGGCACTGCAAAGGTTAACTGCTTGTTGAGGGGGATTTTGGAAAGCACTTTCACTTACCTAATCCCCCACGCCCCTGGTGGTCAGCACTCGCTTCTACCCATTACACTCCAGCCTGTGGACAGTCCCTCTGCATCTGATGCCGGGGGCTAAGGACCACACTTTAAATGTGATGATGCCATAGGGTTGCTGGAACAAAGGGAGGGGCGGGGGGGAGAGAGAGACAGTGGCCCCGGTCTTGGAAACAAGGGTACAGGTAAAAATAAGTATTTTAAAGGATCCCTCTAGATAAAAGCAAGCAGTTAACCCTTGTGGTGCAGCGATAGCTCCAACGTAGTTATTTATTTTAAGCTGGAGATCGGTTTTAAAGTTTTATTGAACAGATGATTCGGTGGTATTTGCCAATTGTATACTCCTTGGAAAAAAAATTCCCTTCATGATTTGTTTTCATTGCTGACATGTATGAAATGAAGACTTAGAAAGTTCAATCTTTAACGCCGTCTCCTCTTCTCTGCAGGCTTTTTCTTGAACTGCCTCTTTCCTGGACTGGGGAGGGACAAGGACTTCTCTCCAGACATCTTTTTCCTGGATCTTGTGGTGGTTCCTCCAGCTCGGTAATTTTTTTATTACATCGAACCTGCTCTCTCACACGCAGGTGTAAAGTTGGGTATACGTTAGGGATGCACCGATGCCGTTTTTCTTACGGTATCAAGTACGAGTACCGATACTTTTTTTTCCAGTACTTGCCAATACCGAGTACCAGTGCCGCGTGCCCAGATTATCAGGAAGTCAGGCGGTGGATCATTAACAGTCGCCCGGCTTCACATGCCGAGGCTGCCTGGCTTCCTGATCAATCAGGAAGCCGGGACGCGAGTCATGACGTGCCGCCCGGCTTCCTGATTGGCTAGGAAGCAAGCTGCACTTGTTTGTAAGCAGCGTGGCTTCCTAGCCAATCAAGAAGCTGGACGGCACCTCATGATCCACCTCCCAGCTTCCTGATTGGCTAGGAAGCTGACTTCACTTTGTTCCTAGCCGCCCGGCTTCCTGATTGGTTAGGAAGCCATACTGCCTAGCAACAAGTGACACCGCCTTCCTAGCCAATCAAGAAGCCAAGAGGCGCGTTGTAACCCACCACCCGGCTTCCTGATTGGAAAGGAAGCCAGCTCCATGCTCCCTCGGCACTTGCGGTCAGAGGAAGATTTCCCTTTGACCGGAAGTTCCGGCACCGGAGCATTTGGGTGAGTAGGAGTACAGTGCACATATGTTGCGCTTCTTTTGACATTTTACCACAGGGACTTTGTAGCTGCTACATTGGGCTGCATCCAACCAAAAGCGGTCTTTGATGTCACATAATTCCTCTTTCTGTTTCCTGCTTCTGTGGAGAGTGTAATTTCTGGGCAAAAGTGACACTTGTGTAGTGCGATATCGCGCTACAATGTCGTGCAAAAATGCAGGTAATGAGCGACCTTGAGTTACACCATTGAAGTCCATTGGGGGCGAAAAGCGTAAAAACCACCAAAAAATAGCTTATGTTCGAGCTTCAGCTACATGCAACATTGAGCTTCAAGATGTGAACATCTCCATTGAAATGCATTGGAAGAGCTACATTGAGCATCATATTTGAGCGATTATTTTTATTTTGGAGCGGAAAATGCGCTACAAAACGCTCGGTGTGAATGAGGACTAAGACCTATTTTTAATAGTAACTCTCAAGCAACCAGAAACTAAATTTATCCGGAATCTTCCTATTCCCTTGTAATGCGGATAACAGAGTTTACTGTGCCAGTAACAAAACACCAGAGATTGTTGATCCAGGGAATATCCAATTGCCTTTTGGGATCATCAAGGAATTTGTTTCCCCTGTTGGAGTAAATTGAACCATGCATTATGGGGGGGGGCGGGGGGGGTTGCATTCCTCCTTTTCAACCTGACTATGTAACTATAGTCTTCCTATTGCAGCCAAACTTTTGCAAGCAGCTTGCCATTTCTTATTTTGTAAATCTACGTGCCCACTCAGTGACTGAATCCAAATTTTGTTTTTAGATCTAGCCAACTCTGTTAATTTGTTTTGTTTAAAAAAAAAAAAGTCTGGATCAATTCCTAAATGTGCAGAACATCATCAGGAAGAAATTATTTTCTCTCCCGTTGGAGCAAATTGGATCATGCTTTTAAAAATGGCGTCCCCCCCTCCTCCCCCATCAACTTTGGGTGTAGGTCAGGAGTGCCCAAACCACAGATCCTAACATGCCTCTGTCAGTCTTGCAATGCCTCATGGGAAACCAGTGTTATCCACCCCTGGTCTAGGGTCTTGAATATGGAGGATTTTTATTTATGTATTCATCTGGGTTTTTTTTTTTCTTTTTGCCTATATAGGTTGATCTCTATGGACGCATCTACTTTCAATCTAGTTCTATAACATTAATCTGCTTCATTGGCAGTTATTGTTTACTAGGCTGCTTTTAGGTCTGTGACTTCTGAGTAGGGATGCACCGATACTTTTTTTTTGGTATTGAGTAAGGGTACTGATATTTTTTTTTTCTGATACAGAATACTGGAAGTCCAATTAGGAAGTTGAGCGTCATGTAATTTCTCGCCGCCCGACTTCCTAATTAGCAGGGAAGCCGGCTCCATGCTCCCTCATCACCAGGTGATGAGGAAGCATGGAGCCGGCTTTTTGGGCAATCGGTAAGCTGGTGGGGCAGGTAATGACTCGCCACCTGGCTTTCTATTTGGTCAGCATCCCAACCAATCGCGAAGCCTAGCGGCGAGTCATTAACCGCTCTATGCCATCAGTTGGTGACGAGAGCGCATAGTGCCGGCTTCCCGGTCAATCAGGAAGCCGGGCGGCGTGCAATGACTCGCTGCCTGGCTTTCTGATACCATAAGTTCCGGTATTTGGGCGACTACGAGTACTCGATAACACCACCGATACGGACACTACTATCGGTGCATCTCTACATCTAAACCTTCCTCTACTAACTACTTGTATATCGGACTCCTATATTTCTACAGCTTCCGGCCCATCAATCGTATGGCAGATCAGATGTTCACGAATTGGCAGACAGTTAATCTGCAGGCAGTACTGAAAGATGTGTCGATGATACAGAAGCTTCTGGCCGTCATGGCGGAAGAGCAGGCAAAGCCGCCAGAAGAAACGGAAACCAGCCTGGTAAGAGATTAGAATATTCCAATGAAGGCAGATGTTGACCATTTAAAGCATTTTAAAAATATACTGTTTGCCATTGCCATCTGTTGACATGTCAATCCCCTGCGTCGAGGTAGGCAAACTCTGGCCCTCCCGCTGTGGTGCAACTACAAATCTTGTCATGCCTGTTGGCTTTCAGTCTTGCAATGCCTAATGGGATTTGTATTTGCACCACAGCTGGAGGGCCGCAGTTTGACAACAGATGGAATGGCTGCTGAAATCAGCCCAGCTTGTTTCTAACTTGTCGGGAACGACAATGTCTGCCGCTATGCAAGGTCACATAAACCTCTCAGGAGACTTGTGCAGGGAAGAGCGTGTATGGTATACTTTTATTTTTTGAAATGCCAGTGTCTGACTGTCATGCTAGCCCTCTGGCTTCAGTATTTCGATTTGCTGATCTGGATCAAGCATGCGAATAACTGGCTCTTCTACAAATTTTTCCTGTTTAGTGACTTGAAGTATTTAAAGCGGGCGACTATCACATTATGGGAAGCTATAAATAACATGGTTTCGCTCCTGACACATTTACCTAGTCGTGTACAAAAATACGCACCCAGTATTTCTGGTTAAAGGAGAGCAAACTTGCCTCTTCCCAATCCTCCCATGTGAGTGGCCGGCCACTTAGGCACCCAACATTGTTACATGGAGCGGGTGGGTGCCCTCTTGACTTGGAGTCTACACAGAACTTGCTCTTTGCTTCCGGTTGCCAAATAATTCAGTGGGAGAGTGAAGGGATAGAATGCACAGCTAAGGACGGCTGCTCTTAAGTGAGCTGTTGCTTTACCCTTCATGGGCAGAGTGCAGATTTACATTATGGCCACTCGCATGATAGCTGTATGGATATCTGTTGCTTGGTCCACTTTATCTTAACCTATGACCTCCTAAGCTACCCAAACCTCTAAATGTGTCACCAAACGTAATTCCTTAACATACCTGTAGATACCAGCACTCGTAAGATGAAATAAATCCAAATGTTCTTTTTATTAAAGAAGCACGTCGCAACAGCCAACGTTTTGCAACCACACAGGGTCCCTTGCGCGTGACCATGTCTGCCCTGATGAAGGGACCCTGTGTGGTTCCGAAACGTTGGCTGTTGTGATGTTGTATGCGGCAATTTTTGTTGCATCCTAAATATGGATGTAATATGAAACATGCTCTAAAAGATGGACTAAGCCTATAAATCCTTACCCGGTCTATTAAAAGGAAGGAAATTAGAAGAAACGTTTTTGATGTAAGATGTAGGCCATTTCTGGTCTAAACATAAACCTTTCTAGACATATTCATGTTTATTTGAGACCTTATAGGCTAGCAATTACAGCTGTACTTTGGCCAGTAGAAAAAGCAACCAGGTTAATTTTGGCATTCGCCCTCGTCCCTGTATTTCAGCAGCATATACCTTTTTGCATTACATGTATTAAAGTTAATTACAAGGGTTTGGTTACAAATATGTTTACGGGTGGGTATATTTTAGGTATGTTAATAAAACAAGGCTGTCCCCTGGACACCATACAGCAAAAAAAAACCTTGAAGTAACGGTGGTGCTCGCAGTGATGGAGCCGTGCGTACCACAGTACAACAGTAGATAACAATGAAGATCACCAGCACTTGAGATGAAATCCATCCAAAATTTTCTTTTTATTAAAGAAGCACGTCGCAACAGCCAACGTTTTGCAACCACACAGGGTCCCTTGCTTAAGATGAAATAAATCCAAATGTTCTTTTTATTAAAGAAGCACGTCGCAACAGCCAACGTTTTGCAACCACACAGGGTCCCTTGCGCGTGACCATGTCTGCCCTGATGAAGGGACCCTGTGTGGTTGCAAAACGTTGGCTGTTGCGACGTGCTTCTTTAATAAAAAGAAAATTTTGGATGGATTTCATCTCAAGTGCTGGTGATCTTCATTGTTATCTACTGTTGTACTGTGGTACGCACGGCTCCATCACTGCGAGCACCACCGTTACTTCAAGGTTTTTTTTTGCTGTATGGTGTCCAGGGGACAGCCTTGTTTTATTAACATACCTAACATATACCCACCCGTAAACATATTTGTAACCAAACCCTTGTAATTAACTTTAATACATCAAAATGAAAAGGAATGTCATGGCGAAAACGTTTATTATTGCCCAACATGATCCTTGAAATTCTTGGCAATGCACCAATGTCTAGGATTATAAACTCCTCATCCCGTACCTGCATGCTTTTTGTCAACCAGTGTAAATTGACTTCTCTTGACTGGCCTCGTTTTTGTGGGCAGTGAGTTTGGTATCCCTCCTCCGAGTCATTTAGCAGTCTTTTTAATGTGGTATCTCTACTGCTGTTAAAGTGACATTAAACCCTCAGATTATTTAACATAAAACAATACTGTAATGTGCGCCTTACTGTAATCCATGGTAGTTTCCCTTCTCTTTGCTGCTCTTCCTTTTAAATCTGTATCTCTTCCCATGCTGGGCAGAACTTCTGTTTTGCAGCAGACTGCCTTGTCTCAGGAATGGATACATGGTGTCTGTGTATCGGTTTCTATAGACTTGTAACCTGAGCCAGCACTACAGGAAGAGGCCCTGAGCTGAAAAGGGAAGTTCTCCCTCGGCATGAGAAGACATGAGGATTTAAAAGGAAGAGCAGCAAAGAGAAGGGAAACAACCATGGATTACAATAAGGCACACATTACAGTATTGGTTTATGTTAAACAATCTGAGGATTTAATGTCACTTTAAGCTATATTTAGCCCAACTGCGGTTTTTCTAAGGGCTCATTCAGATGGGCGTTCATGCCTAAAAATGACCCGATTCCTGAAGGGGCAGGTGCTGCGTGTAATTGCACAGCAGCAGCCTGTTCATCCCTATGGGAGGACGTGGCTGCACGCTGTCACACGCACACCCGAACTTGCACATGCGTGGGGGTTCGGGTGTCCACACTTAGACACACTCTGTCTGCGGACACCCGGACCCACATGCCTATAGGGAAGAACAGGCATGCTGTGCACAATTACATGCTACACTTGTCCCTTCTGGGATCAGGTCTTTGTTTCTGCACGCCTGTCTTAATGAGCCCTTAGAAAACAGACAAACTAAATATAGCTCAACAGCAGGAGAGACCACATTAAAATGACTGCTAAATGACTTGGAGGTGGAATCCACCACTGCATAGGAAACAGGGATGCTGCACTCACACGCAGCATCTGTTCCTTCCGGGGTTGGGTCTCTTTTTGGGCGTGCACACCGTGCGGACGTGTACGCCGATCTGAATGAGCCCTGAGCCTCCAGAATACTATTGCTTTTGCATTAAACCCTCCCGATCCGTCCCCTTTCCCACTGACTGCGCAAGCGATTATATTTTATTTTATCCAACCATAAAATGTTTAGTTAATGTTTGATTTTATATTTGAAACCTTTACATCAGGGGAAAAAAAACAAATACTAAAGACTATGCATACTTTTTTTTTTTTTTCTTTTTTCTTTCTCCACTTCTATGTTTTCCAGGAAGAGAGTGAGCCAGCTCAAGTCATTGATCGCGCCTTCTTGGCCCAGATGCCAGGGCTGACCCATACAGACAAGCTGTACAATGCCTGGATCCGATTACAGAGTCATGTTAACATTGTGTTTGACAGTGATATGGACAGACTGATGACAGACAAGTTCCCTGGAATCCGGCAGGTTGGAACTTAAGTTAATTTCCTTGGTTTTTGGGCTAAACTATATGCACGGTTTTTATGTGCCTGACCAGTAGAGCTCTCAGTGGATTTCTAAAATAAAGCGACAAGGTCGGCATTCCACACTGAAACAGGTAAACGTAGAGACTCTGATTTGCAGAGCTTACCATCAGGGTTCTTCTGTGAGCGGGTATCTCTGCATAGTTCACCTTTATGGTAAAAAATGAATAACTGTACCAACAATGATGAAATAACAAATTTGCTTTTAGGGCTGCAGAGCACTGAAACCGTGATCAGCGTGTCGTTTCACAGGCGCTTGCATTGCTAACCCACCCCCTTCGCCACCAGGTCTGCACAGACCTTTTGTTATGGGGCTGGAGGAAGTAACTAATGAACTACAAGTGCGGCAACATCACCCCCCTGCTGCCTGCGTGCTCTGCTGCAATGGCAGCAGGGACTTGTAGTATCTTAATTGAATAATTCCTCTCAATGGATGACATGGCTACATGGGCCGAGCCATGCACAGCTGTGCTATATATATATAACCGACTGATGCACCCTCTAAGCATCCTGCAATTTAGGTAAGGGGGGTGGTTAAATTTGGGGGATGTTGTATGCGGCAATTTTTGTTGCATCCTAAATATGGATGTAATATGAAACATGCTCTAAAAGATGGACTAAGCCTATAAATCCTTACCCGGTCTATTAAAAGGAAGGAAATTAGAAGAAACGTTTTTGATGTAAGATGTAGGCCATTTCTGGTCTAAACATAAACCTTTCTAGACATATTCATGTTTATTTGAGACCTTATAGGCTAGCAATTACAGCTGTACTTTGGCCAGTAGAAAAAGCAACCAGGTTAATTTTGGCATTCGCCCTCGTCCCTGTATTTCAGCAGCATATACCTTTTTGCATTACACTCCCGATGCTTCATTCAGCTGCTGGATGCAAAATAAATAACTGGTACACCCAAGAGGTATGGACGAACAGGAGGTTTGCTCTTCATCTCATGTGATGGCTCCGGTGTTGGGATATGCCCAGCAATGTCACTTGAGGCAAGGAAGCGTCATCGGCCATTTGTAAATTGCAGTTGGATTGACTTGGAGGCTACTGCAGCTTCCTTTCCTCCTGCCCAGCAGCTAGACGAAGCATGCGCTAGTAAAAAGTAGGCATTACATCAAACCTGTTACTTTGGCCTGCTGTGCAGGTTTGATTTAAAGAAGAACTCCAATCATATCCAAAATTAAGTGCTTCCTTTGGTCTAGGGCCTAAAATAAAATTACATGTAGTCATCTGATATGCGATCCTGCCTGGCTGCTAATTCTGCTCTGTAGAACTTTTGAGTGGTTACTCCCAGCTTCCTGTCCCCATGATAACAACAAAGGGACATCAAGTAAGGGGAAACCTGTCGATTAGGAGCACAGACATCAATAAAAACCAAGAGGATCCAACCTTTTCCCACTTTGTCCAAAATAAATAATAATTTGTCTTAACTGATGCAGTCTTTGTTGGGATGCCTTGCAGATATAAATAGTCTGTATTTTATTGTAGATCCTGGAGAAGAAAGACGGTCTGTTCCGGAAACACATGATGGGAAAACGTGTGGACTATGCTGCACGCTCTGTCATCTGCCCAGACATGTACATCAGCACCAATGAGATTGGAATTCCAATGGTATGTAGAGTTGACACTCTGTAGGTGGGTTATTGAAGGGTTCTCTGTACTCGGGAGATGAGTAACACAGAGTTAGTACAGAGTATAGGTCCTCATCAAGCGAGCTTGGAGCGGTGGCTACTTTACAACACACACAGGGACCATGGGGAACAAAAGAAGCCCCCCTCTAGAAGGAAGGACAGTGTCAGCACCAATTCAGAGATGATTTGAGGATCTACAGCCGAGTAATACACAAATAAGATACATTTTTGTTAATAGTTAACTCCTAAAAATGCATTCAAGTACCTTTTTAACTCCTGAGTTTAGTATCAGTTTAAATGAGGGCTAATCTAATTACGGGAGGATATAGCTTCTGCCCTAGTTAATGGTAACTACATGTGCATAATAAATCATGTAATAAATAATAAAGCCTCCCCATTGATAACCGGATATGCCCATTTATATCAGCCAGATAAACAAATGTCTTCTTTATTGTGATATAAACATGAATAAAAATGATTCTATATTACTGACATATGTTGGTTCTCACTGCTGATTGATCTTTTTTCTCTGCAAGGTGTTTGCTACAAAACTGACCTACCCCCAGCCTGTTACGGCATGGAATGTGCAGGAACTGAGACAGGCTGTTATGAATGGGCCTAATGTCCACCCCGGAGCCTCCATAGTGGTCAGCGAAGACAGCTCACGTACAATATTGAGCTCCACTGACGCTGCACAGAGGGAGGCCATTGCAAAGCAGCTTCTTACTCCATCCACCGGTGTGCAGAGGTTGACCTCCAAGATTGTGAGTTCCTCAGTATTGGTGTTGTTTTGGTGTTCTAGAGTGTTGTTGCTCCGTGGATGGTCATTTGTTGTAGCGATACTGGTTTCCTCTTTGGCCTGGTGTACCAGGAATTTAAAGTGGACCTTTACCCCTTTCACTACAAATCACATCCGCATACAGCTCTGCATGCTGATATGAAATCATTTTACATTCATTAATTTTTCCACTTCCTGGTCCTCTTGGGCATTAGTGATGTAATGTGGCTCAGCGTTGCATCCTGGGAAGGTTACATCAGCAGATCTCATTCTGAGCCTGATGAAGGGGACCCTGCGCGTCCCCGAAAGCGCTGGTACATAATCGGCAATACTTGTCAATGGATGTTTGCTGATTGCACAAGTCATTACGGTGTGCTGGTGACATCTCTAATTTATGACTCTGCAATGGATGGGGCTCTTTCTAAGTTATAGGTATTACTGGATGGACTTGTTTGCATACAGTTCCAGTATTTTCTTGGAATAAAGGATGGCACGGATTCAATAGCAAGAGCTGGGGTCGAAATCCATCTTCGTTCATTGGATTATATTGATCATGTACAATCATGTGACCACTGCAGGGGTATTACTCATGTGGATTGTAACTTGAAGGAGGATCACTCTTTAGGAATAGCTGCTGACCATGCCATAAGCCTCCTTGGTACAGACCACATGGCCAGTGCTGAGGCATTAGTCATGTGATCTGGCACTAGCGGTTGTTTTCCGAACATTGCCTATCCTTAATGCTGTCATGAGTTTTTGGGGATTTCATTTTTAACAATTGACATGTCTGTTTTTTATAACTGATCTCATGATTTAAAGAGACCCTGTCACTAGCTAAAACAATTGCAGGTAAAACACAGGAAAAAAAGTGGTTGTAAATGCTTGCTTAAAGTTTTGCCTTTCCATAAATGATTTTAGTTGACTTGTAATGTAGCTTTAAACTTGTTAGAAAATTTGACTACTCCAGGAAGAGTCGGTTCTCTATCGCAGACTCCTATTTTCTTGTATGTCCGATCCCTCTCCTCTTCTGTAAATGTCTACTTGCTGTCTATGCTGGCCCAGCTCCCTCACACCTCACCTGACTGCATAACCTTTTTATGTAGCTGCCAGGGGAGGAGTGAAGGTAAATACTGAAGTGTCACTTCAATGACAACTCTGATTCTGCCGGGGCTGCTGCTTTTACATCCAAGATGGCGGCACTCCGCTTCAGTCTCATAACATTTGGATGACTACTCAAGGGAGGCTGTTACAGGAAAATAATATGCATAAAATTCATTAAATGCACGTCTAATGGGAAGATTATTTTTTTATAAACTGGATTGCTTGGTTTAGCCATTAATGTCAGTTTATGAACTCTTATGTGATGTGTTTTGTTTGTGTCTGTCAGGTGTATCGCCATGTGAAGAATGGGGACGTCCTGCTGCTGAACCGACAGCCCACCCTACACAGACCGTCCATACAAGCCCACAAGGCCCGGATCCTTCCAGGGGAGAAGGTCCTGAGGCTGCACTATGCCAACTGCAAGGCCTACAATGCTGACTTTGACGGGGATGAAATGAACGCTCACTTCCCTCAGAGTGAACTAGGCCGGGCAGAAGCCTACACTTTAGCCTGTACTGATGAGCAGTACTTGGTGCCTAAGGTACTACAGACCTAAAAGGATGTTTGTGGAGCTACAAAATCTACTAGACCAGTGGTTTCCAATCCTTTTTTTTTTTTTTTTTACTTTAATACCCCTTGGTAGTCCATTTGTTTAAGTTGCAATTACACTCACTGAACTTGGCATGTCTGCATGGGTTAGCTTTATACTGCTCTCCTACAGAGATACTGGGCCTAATGGGTACACCGTGCTCTGCTCTGAGTAGGGAGCAGACAGTACAGTCTGCATATTTCAATGTAATTAATGGCTCATTCATTTAAAACCGCAGACCTTTACCCCCTTTCTACTTTGTAACCTCTGCATGCTGATATGAAATCATCTTACAGTCCTTCGTTAAATAAACATATTTTGCTTTTACTTACAATTTATTTTTGCACTTCCTGGTCCTCTGGGGCATTAGTGATGTGATGTGCCCAAGCGTTGCATCCTGGGAAGGTTACATCAGCAGAGCATTGCTGGGAAATCTCATCTGTAATCTCACGAGATCTCAGGGAAAAGCCTTTTCCTCCCTGAGATGCTGTGCATGGTCACATGTCCTAGCCACATGTGCCAGAGTTCCAGGAAGTAAAGGGAGAGCTAGTAATCTGCCCTTAGTAAAAATGGCCACTATGAGAAGAATGGAGAGTAAAATAAAAATAAGGTATGTAAAGAATAAAAAGCCGGCAATTATCTAGAAGTTTCTGTTTGTAGATTGTCATTACTAAACATTTCTAAGGATGTGTTTGTTGTCATTTCAAAGATATAGGTAAAGTTCCTCTTCACTGGACTAGGCCTATGGCCTGTTGTTATTTGTTAATCTCCGCAGCTCATGACCAGCTCATGACATATTTTATTTTTTTGTTTTCTCATTTGTGACTTGTCTGGCAACTTCTCTTTTTTTTTTTTCCCCTCCCCAAAGGATGGGACCCCTTTAGCAGGCCTGATCCAGGATCACATGGTGTCCGGGGCAAGTATGACCATCCGGGGTTGTTTCTTCACCAGAGAACAGTACATGGCGCTGGTCTACAGGGGGCTGACGGATAAAATTGGCTGGGTGAAAACCCTCCCACCAGCAATCATGAAACCATGCAAATTATGGACAGGAAAGCAGGTAATGAAACCAGCAACTTGTGTTTTGCAGGCAGCAGCTGTTCTTGCTAATAGTTGTTTTGCTTCGGCTAGTTTGATAACCTGTGCCTGTTATCCACGCTTTATCCAGTCATGCATCTTTTATGCGGTGGGAAGGGGGGCAAAATGTGATCCAATCACACTGGGCATTTTTTGCCCCAGTGTCTGTGTTGCCCACTGCAACCTGTTGTTGAGTTCTCCCTTTTTTTATTTTACATTCCAGTAAAAAAAATGAAAGATGAACTCCAGGCACAATTTGTATTAACCCTTGCAGTGGTCTTCCCCCGCACTGCAAGGTTTAAGCGCACATTTTGGTATAAGTTTAAAAAAAAAAAAGTTATACTCGCCTGATCCTCGGTGCCTGCTTGCCCGTAGAATGGTTGCCTCTGCCTTGCTCCCCCTTCACTGCAGCGGTCTAATGTCCCAGAATCATCACGTTCTATACAGTGTATAGGACGTGAGGGCGCAAAGGGGTCTTACAATATGTATATCTCGCACACACAGTAAACTCATTATCCGGCATCCAGGGGGATTGTTAGATTCCGAATAAATGTAGTTTCTGGTTGCTTGAGAGTTAATATTAAAAATAGGTCTGACTAATGCCATACCCCATACTATACCATAACATAAACTCTGTATTGACTTCATATTTAATATTGAAATGCAGTAATCAAAAGCAAATTAAGACAAATAGACATACAAACTTTTCCAGGATAAGACATGCCACAGATCAGCAGAACAATGAGTACAGAGGATTTTTTTTTTTTCTGGTTAGTTGAATACCGGATAACAGAGGTTACTGTATATATTTATACTGGCAGAGAAATTGATCCTTTATGGAGGGGGAGAAGATTTCAATAATGGAGATTATTGGGTGTTTTCCAAATGTAACTGCTATCCTGCATTATGTTCTGCTATTTCTACTTATTTCCACCAGGTGGCGCCTCAGACACAGCGTGTCATGCGCTAGCCGTAAACTGATTATTATAGTATAAGTTGAACAGCCTGACTGTCATGCTGGGTCATGTGCATCCAAAGCTTCTCAGTGTGCCTCAGACTATACTTTCATAGCTAAAAGTACAACTACAGCATGTCTGGTGTCTACATAATGTTATATAATTACATGAGACACGGATACATTTGAACAACATCTTTTTTTTGTATTGCTTACGTTAGGTAGCAATTCTTTTTGGAATGTATTTAAAGCTGATATTGGATTAACAAGAGTTAACAGTATTCTATCACTGCAGTGAAGACAAAGTACAAAAACACACTGAGGGGAACTTTAGCAAAACTAGAGCAGATTTGCACGGCAACCAATCAGCTTCTCTGTCTCATTTTCAAATCTTACCTGAGTAAACTGAAGAAAGATGCTGCGTGGTTGCCATGGGCAACTGCTCCAGATTCTGTCTGCTGCAGCTTTGATAAATTCCCCCCAACCCTTCTACAAATGGCTATGCCTGGCTCTCCTGGGGCAAAGGGTGCCATTTCCTTGGAATCCTCCTGTTCTTACCACCTTATGCTCCCACATGTACCTCGATCGTCACCCCTTTAAAGCAGCATTCCGGTTGAAACATTTTGATTAACCCTTGCGATGTGGCTACCTCCGCACTGCAAGCGTTAAGTGCTTGTTTTTGCCTAGGGTCCAAAATAAAAAGATATACTCACCCGATTGTCTGAGCTGGCCGGCTCTTAGACTGGTCCTTGGAGACTCTCTCTCCCCCTCTGCTGCAGCAGTCTAAGGCTATTATGAGTCATCACATCCAATGCAGTGTATAGGACGTCAAGGGACATACCATGACTGTAGTAGAGGTGGAGAGAGGTTGGAGCGAACGCTTTGACAGCCGGTTGGCTTTGAGAATTGGGTGAGCATAACTTTGCTTTTCTTTTTACCCTAGGCAAAAATGAGCAGTTAATAAATTTTTTACCGGCGCTGTTCTTTAAACTATCACTGTTATGTTACCCCAATTCAGACCTACAAAGGCTCCATTGTCTTTATTACCTCTGTAACCCTAAGGCCCCATTCACACTGAGCGATTTATGGAGCGATTTTTGCAGCGATATCGCTCATATTTCCGCGCTATATCGCTCTATGTAGCTTCACCAATACATTTCAATGTAGCTGTTCACATCTCGTCGCTCAATATCGCTTGTAGCTCGTCGCTGGTAGCTTTTCGCTCCTACACGACCCTTTTTTAGAGCGATTTTGAGCGATATTGCTCCTGATTGCATACAGCCCAATAGGAAGATGTCGCTCGACACGTCGCTCAATGTCGTGCGATTTCCATGTCGCTCAGTGTGAATGGGGTCTAAACCCCATACCCTCCATCCTCTGAATTACTCAAACCATGAGCGTAGTAGGGTTCTGTCCTCATTGAGGCTAAGTTCCATATTCCTATGTGCAACGTGTCCTTCTGGACAGGAGAAGCAAACAATTATGTTCTTACTATGTTGCACCGATTTTTAATCTAGTGAATTCTTTCTTCTAGTATAAATATTTGTATGACTCTCTGCATAGATTCATGTGTTTGTGTGGATAACTTCACTTTGATGTAATTCATGTCCATCTCTGGAAGACATCAAATGGAGAAACTCCATTTGCATTATTTTCTGTTGGCAAGATATTGGGCTAATAAAATAATCACCAAAATAATACAAACTGAAGCATCTCATCATAGACCTGACGACGTTTTATGTGCATGTTTCCTTTGTAATGTGTTCCTTCTAACACAGGTAGTTTCTACGTTACTTATCAACGTAATTCCAGATCATCACATCCCTCTAAACTTGACAGGAAAGGCAAAGATTGGTGGGAAGGCGTGGGTGAAGGCCCCATCCAGGCCAGTACCGGGTTTCAATTCCGATTCCATGTGCGAGTCTCAGGTAAGCAGGTCTCAGGTAACCCTAATGACTAATCTGTAGGAAGTACAGTGATGTGAAAACAAAGGTTTACCTCTATGGTTCGCGGTGAACCACTGGCAGAACCTTTTTAAGAACGGTGACAAACGTGTGAATGTGTTTTCAAGGCAGTCTGACTTAGTGTTAGACTTTACAAACCTATCCTACCAGGGACCAAAGTCATAACTTATAATATCCCACAACTCTGGAAAAGGGGAAACCTAAAAAGCCCCCCAACTCCCTAGCTGTGCTGGTGCCATTTTCCCTACTGTGATCTCCTACTTCGATGCTATGTCACCAGCTAATGCTGGAAAAGCTGAGTTTTAGATTTCTGTTCCTGGAGCAGGAGTAGGCAACCTAGCAATCCAGCTGTGGTGAAACTATACGTCCCATGAGGTATGGCAAGACTCTGACAGACCCAGGCATAACTCCCAGAGGCATGATGAATCACCACAGCTAGAGTGCCACGGTTGCCTGTTCTAGAGAAACCAGTGTCAAAGTAGAGTATCTTCATTGCAATCCCTGCAGCGGCCATTTGTCGAATGTCAGTGCTGTACAAAATAAGGGGAGGCTTAACCAATATGGTGCTATCAGAGGAGACAAGCAACTAATAAATGGACCTCTAGTTTCCCAAAAGTTATTACTAATGGCAGAGGATTGCTGGGCCAACTGTTCTCCTGACATGCAGTGACCTGAGCTTGAAGGGAAGCCCAGCTGGAATAATTATGAGATGCCAGGAGACGAAGAGCTTTGCCGGGTTTGTGTCATACAAGACACTCATTGAACGAGGGCATGGGAGAACCACAGAGGGGGGCAATATCTTAATTGGAGCTCAGGAGGAGAGGATTATGTAGTTGCTATGGGTGTACAGTACTGCCATGTCCTGAATAATGGAGGGAATAGTTATCTGGAAAGCCTGTACTGAAAAATGCTGGGAATGGATCTCTGGAAAGCTTGTCCTTAAAAAAAAATGCAGGGAATGGATCTCTGGAAAGCTTGTCCTGAAAAATGCAGGGAATGGATCTCCTGGAAAGCTTGTCCTGGAAAATGCAGGGAATGGATCTCCTAGAAAGCTTGTCCTGAAAATGCAGGGAATGGATCTCTGGAAAGCTTGTCCTGGAAAATGCAGGGAATGGATCTCAGGAAAGCTAGTCCTGGAAAATGCAGGGAATGGATCTCTGGAAAGCTAGTCCTGAAACATGCAGGGAATGGATCTCTGGAAAAGCTTGTCCTGAAAAATGAACTTGATCCCAAAAAACATCCAGTATATAACTTGAAATAGAATTGGTTAATTAACGAACAATTTGATTTCTAATGTTTTCTTAGTTGGGTATTAAGTGATTTACTTGGAACATCACACACACACATTTATCTATAACTGTAGCAAAACGTCTTTTTATCCTCCATGGTATGAGCTTATGCTGACACATTGTTCCTGTATATTTCTTGCCCTCCAGGTTATCATTCGTAGTGGAGAGCTGCTGTGCGGAGTCTTGGACAAAGCTCACTATGGCAGCTCATCCTTCGGACTCGTTCACTGCTGCTATGAACTGTATGGCGGAGAGATCAGCGGAAAATTACTCACCTGCCTGGCTCGTCTCTTTACCGCTTACTTGCAGCTTTACCGTGGCTTTACCATGGGTGAGTGATGTAGAAAATAATTATGCTTGGATAATAATTAAATCTTAAAGATATATATTTATAACAACCAGCAAAAATGGCAGCTGCTCTGATTAATTAAAATTACCAAAAAAGGGGGAAGGAGCACATAGGCAGAGCAATATACAGAACAAATCTCAACTATAGGATGATAATTGCAATGCCTAAATTGGCGATCACACGATTGGCAGTCCATCCCCGGCTCCTGATTGTGAACAGTGACCAGGAGCTATTGGTAATGGCTCTGTCACTTTGCTGGAAGCTGTGAGTGAGCACACTCCCAGCACAGATGATTTGGAAGCATATATGTAGAAAACCGGCATTAAAGCCCACTTCTGTAGTGCCGCATGTACTTGAAGCCAATCCTGTACATATGATATAATAGGCGTTTGGATATTACATGATCAGATAATCGAAGGGAATATTCACACAGTCGGTTATATAGTATGGTATATAGGCCTCTTAATCCTCGCTGCTACTGTGGTTTGGTTCCTTCACTATTGCTTTGTGAAACATGTCACTGATTGACTCTGATCATTTCTAGGAGTGGAGGACATTCTGGTTCGTCCCTACGCTAATGTCAAACGACAGAAGATCGTGGAACGTTCTACACATTGTGGTGGACGGGTATGTTGGATAATCATTTGTTTTCTAATGGTCCTTCTGAAATGTGTTTTTTGCAGCTTTGGAATAATGCTTGTGAACGGTAACATCTTCATATATGCTCCCTTTTGGCCTTAAAAGTAAACCATTGAGTGGATTTTGTTTTATATCTGCTTAATCACTGCACATGCTTTTTGCCTGGGTGCCCTCTGCACACGCTTTTTGCTTGGGTGCCCTCTGCGCACGCTTTTTGCTTGGGTGCCCTCTGCGCACGCTTTTTGCCTGGCTGCCCTCTGCGCACGCTTTTTGCCTGGCTGCCCTCTGCGCACGTTTTTTTTTTGTTGGCTGCTCTCTGGGTGCGCACGTTTTTTTTTGCCTGGCTGCCCTCTGCGCACGTTTTTTTTTTTCTTTTCTTTTTCTGCCTGCGCAGAGGGCGCAGGCTTTTTTTTTTGGGGAGTGACTTTTATGGTACTTTGCATTTGGTGTGCGGAGGCATTCGCCGTCACTTTCGGCACCCCCCCAGTTTTCGTTTGGGCTTTATCCGGTCAGGAGTGCGATGGGATTTACTACTTTTTGCCTGGGCGCACCCTTTTGTTTGCCTGGGCGCCCTCTGTGCACCCCTTCTTCTAATTTCTAGTTCTTTGTGATCACTTTCTACTTTTTCGCCCTCTGCGTACACTTTCCACATGTGCGCTGTCAATCTCTGCATTTTCTTTGTTTCCTTGCTCTCTGCATGTTGTCGCTCCATGATGTGACTAGTATTCAAGATGAAACTTGTTAAAGATGTCACCAGCACAACATATGGAAGTTAATTTTAAGTCTGATGAACGGGACCCTGTGTGGCCCCGAAACGTTGCTATTTGTTTTGACATGAAGCATCAATAAACAGACGTGTACTTCACTTCAATATGGTGTGCTGGTGACATCTTTAACAAGTTTCAGTATTGGCGGCGCCATCCGTGGTCACTTGGAGCAAGGATACCCGGTAAGGAGTGCAAGGATACCCGGTAAGGAGTGCAGCAGAATTGTGGAATACATAGTATTCAAGATGAGGCTGGAGTCAGAGGTCGTGGGGTTTTTTTTTCCGTTTTTTTTTTAGAGCTCTATTGAAATGTGACATTTTAAGAGGAGTGGGTCAAACCATCTGTTGGCACTTCTTATTGAGAGCTTCAGAGATCTTTTGTTTGCAGTGAATGCCTCCTAAAGTTTAACAAAATATTCGGTTATGGGTGCCGTTATTTTTGTCCATGCCATTTTTCATTTGTTTTATTTAAAATATACTGTTGAATCAAGCGATCTAAAGCAAAGTATAATGGAACAAACAATAATGGATACCAATCACTTTAGTTTTAGGTTGTTTCAGAGAAAGCAGAGTTATTTTTTTATTTTTCTGTAGAAGGGTACCAACATATTTGTTCACGTCTGTTACTATTGAGCCAAAATATGTTTAGAGAGCAACTCCAGGAAAACCACAAACTTAGCCGTGCAGTGGGACTGCCCCTGTGTTGCAAGAGTTAAGTTCTTGTTTTGTATAGGGAGCTAATATAAAAAAAAAGATATACTCGCCTGATCTCGCCATCGGCTCCCACAATGCTGCTAGACCAGTTCCCACAGCCTCCTTATCCCTGGGCTGTGGTGGTCTAAGAACCATTGATGTCATCGTGTCTTATGCAGGTCCATTGACCTGCTTTAGACGTGGGGACGCAGAGGGGTGAGACGTGAGTGATGACCGAGAATCAGGTAAGTATATCTGCTTTATTTGGGCCCCATAGACAAAAGAAGCACTTAACCCTTGCAGTGCATGGGTAGCCCCACTGCAAGGGTAAGGGTTTTTTTTTTTGTTTCCCCGTAGTTCTTCTTTAAATCTTTAAATCTCTGGAACCTCTGTAATAAACAATAGGATGCTGTTTCCTCGTCGGGTCTGTCTAGACAAAATCCGACTGGTCATGCTGTGTAATGGTCATCTACTTTGATTAGCCATGTATAGCCATATTAGTACGACTGATTGGAACGCTTTGTTCTGTAGGCTGTCAGAGCTGCCTTCAATCTCTCAGATATAGCTACAGATGAGGAGACCCAGGGGAAGTGGCAGGATGCCCATCTAAACAAAGACCAGAGGGACTTTAACATGGTGGATTTGAAATTCAAGGAAGAAGTTAATGGATTCAACAATGAAATCAATAAGGTGAGTTTTTGAATAGATGGTTGGCAGCCTGTCATTGTTTTCTTGGGTCTCTGTGGCTAGCCGTACATGAGGTGGGGGGGTGGGGGGCTGGTGGTCCCACTGCTATACAGTTCTGTTCTATTCTGCATATTTACTCTCCAAGAACAAGAATCACAAAATATGGGGCTTTTAAGGTGTCGTACCAGGAATAAGACAGTTGCATTATAATAAGCATGTTACATATTTATTCTTCAATATATAAAATTACATGTTGTAAAGCCCAATAATGGTTCGCTACGTGATGTTAATAGAGCGTAGTACCTCCCTGAATCACACCTACACATTTTGTACATGTTCTGGCTGATGACTGTATGTATGTGTGTATATTTTGTACATGTTCTGGCTGATGTTCGCCGAAGCTTCTTCAGAAGATGGGAGGCAGTCTATCGCGTCTATATAATAGATAAATATGCTAATAATTGTATCCTAAAAAGTTGGCTACAAATGAAGTATACTTACTTTATATACATTAAATACCATTTCAGATAGCTTGGTGGTAGAGAAGTCCACGCACCCGGGGAACCTCCATCTTCCAAAAAATATAGAAGGGGGGGGGCGACAATTTCTTCCCAATGACACCAACAACAGGACATAATTACTCCCACTGGCAGCGACACTGGGGTTCAATTACTCCCACTGACGCCGACACTGGGGTTCAATTTCTCCCACTGACGCCGACACTGGGGCACTAGTCTTTCCCCCACTGGCCACATGTGCTGGGTAATATTTATTTTTTATTCGATCAAAGGCTGTGCTACTGTTTATTCCCACTGATGCCAGGGTATTTTCTACTCCCACAGGCCACAGTCTGGTCCCCCTACAATCTTAAGGACTGAACTGGCACTTTGGTTGGAAAGTCTGGGGACCCCTGGTTGAGTTGTTTGAGTGAGACTTACTCTACTTGCTTTGGTTCTTTTATCCTCTAGGTGTGCATGCCTCTTGGTCTCCACAGACGCTTCCCAGAGAATAATTTGCAGCTGATGGTTCAGTCTGGAGCCAAAGGATCAACCGTGAATACAATGCAGGTATTATTCATTTTCCCTTTGATACACATCTCCAGCCATAGGCATCCCTTCTTTTCCATGCAACTTTTTATTTTTTGCTCTCTACTTTATTTAGGTAGTGACAGGATCTCTTTAAGCTGTAGCTAAACGTTAACCTCCAAGTTTCCATTTCAGCAAAATGGTTAACGGTTATAAATTCTTTTAGAAAGTGTTTAACATTAAAGTGTAACTCCGAGAAAAGGTCTAAACTGCTAAAATATCATAAGTGTACATATTTAGTTTTTTACCGGTCATAGTATTTGTCGTTTTTTTCGCAGCTTTGTGTCGGTGTTACCAAGGGCTGCCGTGCTCTGTAGCTAGGAGGGTGTCGCCACTGTTAATTATCGGAGCCTCACATGTCATCCTGCTCAATGGGCTATATAAAAACATCATCGCACCACTGAGTTTCTCCCTATGCTCTTCTTCCCTTTCTCGCAGTTGGCAGAACTGCCCCCTCCAGCTCCCAATGCCTGACAACATGTTGATTTGGCTTTGTACATCAGAGAGGAGCCGGTTTGGCTCACAGTACTTGACCTCTCACTCTCATTCCTGCTGTGGAAAGGTCATTTAGTCCAGTGGTTCTCAACCTGTGTAACCTTGAGACCCACATTTTTCCTCGGTCATCAAGTCGCGACCCGAGTTGCACTGCATAGCGGTACTGTGCTTTCCAGTGCAGGCGATCGAACTGTCGGTGGGAGGTACGCTTGTGGTGCTATTCAAGTGAATGGCAATGCCACACAGCTCCCACACCAGAACGAATGCTAGGTGCGATTGCATGTATTTAAGATCCACCCAGTCTTCCTAGCTTATGAAAACTGGAGTGGATCCTCAACCTGGGGTCCAGTGTGGGCTGCTGTGCTGGAGCTCCATCCATATGTGTATTGCTTTTATAGTGCCCATGCGCGCCCGTAGAGGTGCTGAGTGTCAGAATGTGATGTCACTCGAGGGCATGCAAGGGAGCTGTAAACAATGCATGTATGGATGGAGCACCCTTACGGCCATTCCCCCAGCCCACCTCACCTCAAGCTGACACTCTGCGCAGGGCAGCACATTTTGAATGGCTGCTTGGCATGAGAACTAACAGTGCTGCGCTAAGGGGAGGCTGAGGAGCCTCTCACCTAGAAAAGTGGAAGGCATGTTACGACCCACTGAACACAGGGTCGCGACTCACCAGTTGAGAACCAAGGATTCAGACATTTGGCAGGAAGGTATACTGCCAGTTATAAAAAGAAGCCTCCAATTCTGTATTAAAAAAATGTATGCATGTTTTGTCTGCCTATAATTGGTACCATAATGGGACTTTGTTCGAAGTCTTTTTAAAATGTTGCTTGTCTGTAAAGGTTTATGTAGTCAGACAAAGCCAGGGTGCTTCAGGTTCATTCATCTAGCATGTGAGATGCTTCTGATCCCCTTCCTGAGTTTAATTGAGCTGATTTTGCATTTGTTTCCTTTTGAGGAGAAAAACCCTCCTGACCTGAAAAAAATGCCTTGCGCTTATGCCCTTCACCTATTTCCAGCTATTGGAGTAGCAGTCTTTAAAGTGACCCTGTCCCCAAGGGAAAACCTGAAAGGTGCTGGCTGCCTGTTAGAATACCACTGCTTTGCTTCTTCCTGGGCGGCTAAAGGTATTAGCTGCTTTCGGTGAATTGAATACCTGCTACCCCCAATGCACACCATGATTTCGCCCGTCAGCTTGTACATCCTGTAATGACATATGATTTGACTGGAGGAAACACATTTTGTAGCAGGTATTCTTCACACCTGAAAGAGTGTTATACTTGCAGCTCCTGGGGGAAGAAGCAAAGCAACTGTTTAACAATCGGGCTAATTAAAAAGGTAAGTGTATTGCCCTTTTATTTATATTTACCTTGTGCACTATTGACCCTGTGATGATGGCGTCCCTTTAAGATGTCTGTGTTAATGGATTCTTTTATTATAGTATGCAGGCAGCATCTTGACTGGCAAATGTCCTGTTCTTTACAGATTTCCTGTTTGCTGGGTCAGATCGAGTTGGAAGGTCGGCGACCGCCACTGATGCCGTCGGGGAAGTCTTTGCCCTGTTTCCAACCCTACGACTTCTCACCACGATCTGGTGGTTTTGTGACCGGTCGCTTTCTCACTGGCATCAAACCCCCGGTAATTTAGTATCCTATCGCTTTGATAAATGTTTTTAACCACTTAAAGGCCATAGTGTTTCACGCCCTTCCTGGCCAGGCCATTTTTCAGTATTCAGTGCTGCGGTACTTTGACTGATGTTTATTCTGTCATGCAACACTTTACTGAAACGATTTTCATACCATTTTTTGGGGACAGATAGAGCTTTCTTTTGGTGGCTTTTATTCACCACTGGGGTTTTTATTTTTTACTATATAACAAAAAAAGTACCATAAATTTTGGAAAAAAAACATGTTTCCCTATAAAATTTTATTAAACATTTATTTTTACCCCAATTTTTTGGTACAATATAAAAGACGGGGTCACGTCGGGTAAATAGACACTAAACATGTCAACCTTTAAAATTGCGCACGCCCGCGAAATCGCAGAAAACGACCGCAGCCAAAATTGGCCATAGGCGACGCTTTAAACGCTTTTACCGCTCATCAGTTTAGTGTTATCAGTGATTGATGGCCCTAGAATTATTGTTCTCACTGTGACGTTCACGGCGATATGTAACATGTGCTGCATAATGGGCGCAATCGTCGGTTTCGTACATAGGCGCACCCGACGCATGTTTGCGTGTGTATGTGGGGGGCGGGGGACTTTAACAAAAAAATTTTGTTTTTTTTTAGCTTCTTTATTTTGTTAGCTTCTTTATTTTTTTTAATGCTTTAATTTTTTTTTTTTTTACTTAACTTTATTGCTATAACATAGGGGACTAAGGAATCCCCTATGTAATAGCCAGTTCACCAAACAGGTCCTCTTTATGGAGACATCAGGGGTCTCCAAGACCTCTGATGTCACCTAGGGACCCCCAGAGAAGCTGATGAAGCAGAGATCTGCTCCATCAGCTT